AGCCCTGTTTACTAAACACATCACTCATATAGTTCCTGATAGATGTCTGTTTATTTCGTGCTTCAGCAATAGACTAATTGCAAGCTATTGAGCATGTGTGCTGTTGATTAATGTAAGAGATATAATTTTAAACCACAGTTATTGAGTTGGTCTCCATTTTTACTCTGTGGGGGGTTTTCTGGACATTCCAGAGAATCATCCTTTTGTTCTGGTTTCCTGCGGTACTGGCCTGAACCCAGATGAATTGTATATTATAAAGCCAACTATTAATAACTATAGCCCCAGAAGAACTGAGATGACTAATGACGGATACTTGGTAAATGAAGCCAGTATATTTACTTTGCTGGTTAATTTGCATGAATGTTCTTACAAGAACAGCTGGTACAATTTAAAAGGCTTGTTTTGGCTTGTTGGTTAAGAGGTGTGCACACTTTAATTGTTATCTTCCCGTTGTCAGCTATGTCAGCCGGGATCACCTCCTCTTGTTTTTTTCTTCTTTTTGCCAATGATAAGCTAAAGCAATATGCTTATCATTTTCTTACAGCAGACTGAAACAATTATTTTGTTTTCTACATGTTTACATTGAAATTAGCTGAGAAAATATACCAATTATACAATTTACAGTACCTTGAATAAACACGCCTTCGTGAATCTTCCGAATTAACTGATTAAAACAGATGTGGGAGATTTGAGAAATTACGTGACAAATATTTCTGTCAGTTTTATGTTGGCTATTGAACTTGTTTAAATATAATAAGTTGTACATACTGTATTTCCATGACGTTCTGTAATTCAAGTCATTTCATACTGAACACACACTTTATGGAAACGTATGCAGGATGCAGTGTGTTTTATTCACATCCTCTCTGCTGCGCTTGGTAGTTTTATCCTGCTTTCATCTCAAAATCCTTTATTTCAGAAATTCATTCCAGTATTAGAAATGTCTTGCAGCCTTCAAGCAAAACACCAAATGTTTTTTTTTACCCCAGAAACAATGCTTAACATTGCTTACTGTCCTCTGTGTGGTATGTGCTCCAAAATATAATTTCCAACATAATTATGATTGTTTTAATTAAATCTGCATACCCAAGGTCATGAATCACCTGAGAAACCAAGCCAACATCAAACCAGACACAATTTCCCCTGTTGCTCATTAGCCAACACACAAAACTCAAGCCATATTTTTAAAGAATACTTAACATATACTATATAATGCCTTTAATACAACAACACTACGTTTTTTTTTTGTATTCCCCAAATTATAGTCCATGTTACGTCAATGCTGTATTACAGTTTTGTAAAATATTAAGATGATGTTTTATGATACACATTCCAAATGCATGACATATTCCTCATACTTGTTAAGCAGGACTTAACTGGACTTGGGCTTTATTCCCAAGTTTATTTATAACTCAGGGCTTGTCAATTTAAATACCAAAACAATTGTAAATGCATTAGACATGTTTTGGAATTATATTCAGCAAAGGGATGGCAGTAGTGAGTAGCAGCCTAAGTACTGCATGTTGATGCCATCACAGGGTCTGTTGTGGCACCCTGTAAAATACATCGTAAGTTTTTCAGAATAATGTGTGGGGCTGTTTCACGTGGGCCATTGATGATGGCTTTGGGGTCTTACAATAAAGGGCTATTATACTGGCTGCATAAAGAGAGATTCTAATATTTCTTGGTTTGGTTGAACAACTGTGTTAATAAACTGAACACACGCTTGTCCATATAGTCTGGATCTTGTTCGATCCGATTTGTGCCTCCTTGGTGCCTCTGAGATCAAAGTCTTTCCAGAGATGACAACACCCAACTGGCAGTGTGATTGTGGCATATGCAACATCGCAAAAAAACAACAGAAACATTTCAAGAAAGCTGTACTTCATTTAGTGGCTATAAAAATGGTTGAAATTGCAGGTTTTTGTGATGTAAAGCCAGAAATCAAGATAAATCGTGTCAGACAACCTACAACACCCTCGTTGCATAAGTGTGCACACCTTTTATAATGGGGGCTGTAGCTGTATTTAGAGTTAACCAATCACATTCAAAATCATGTCCAAAGGTAAGTAGCATACCCCTGCCACCAATGTAAGTGATTCTGATTAACCCCCAATAAAAATCAGCTGTTCCTGTAGGATTTCCTTGAAACTTTTGTGGTTCCATCCTACTAGGATAGACGTGGTCTGCAAGGAGCTGACAAAACATCTTGTGCAACCAGGGTGTTGTAGGTTTTTTAAATTCAATTATTTTTCCTAATAGTTGTCTATTTTTTGTTCGTTATTCTTACGTTTTTTGTCATGTTATTTACTCATTACATGTTATTTATGTTATGTTATTACATGTTAATATTATTGCTATTGTGTAACTGTCTATTGTCTTATCTTCTGTCCTATTTATATACTGCACCTGAGTGACTAATGAGAAAAACTTTTCATTATACTATGCACCTGTGTAAGTTTAATGACAAAGTTGAATTGAATTATAATAGATAGGGAAATGCAATAACAGTCTCTTCTTCTAGCCTGGCTTTGTGCAGCATGTGTAGACAGGCTTTTCATGTTTTAAACAGGGGCTGCTGACACACTTTTCTATGGGTATGGTGGAAAGACAGTCAATTGTTAAAGAACTGGTAGGGTGTAATATTAGGTTTAAGTTAATTAGTGGATAATAAGAACATAAAAGTTTACAAATGGGAGGAGGCTATTTGACCACTCTTTCTTGTAGCTAATTAATCCAATGATCTCATGCAGCCAGGGTATTAAATTCCAAAACATGACTGGGTAGCTTGTTACAGTACATCTTCCCAGCAACCCTCTATGCAAGTTTTACATAACAAACGTTTTCTCTTCCTTATAGTTTTCTCTTCTTGTTCTCTGGTTCACTGTTGATTCAGAAGATGTTCACTGGTTAAACTAAGTTTTAGTAAAAATCTGACCCTTTATTCAGCAGACTTTAGAAATTCAATAATATACCACATCATCTTTTCTTAGACCTTTTTGTAGTGATGACTATCCAAAACCATTTTGCCATCTAATCTAGTTTTAATAATTTCCATAACCTTACAAAATCTTTAATATTTTGTTATAGACCATTCCAAAAAGTACCTTGAATGTCATTCACTGGGGTAAAAGTGATGTATTTTTTCCTTATTCCCTGAGCTACATGGTTGTTATAGGAAATAAAAAGTAGTACAAAGTATAGATTTTGTTAGCATATTGATTATTATATACAATATACAGTAGTTCTTCTAACTTAAATCTATATTTCTAAATGGAAAAGGATTCTGATGACATCTGCTGACTTTGAAAATAATTCTTTTCTAGTCTCCAGCTGGAGTTGAACTTAGATTTGGGTGTTGATTGGTGAATCTTCCTATGGGGGAGTTTAGAATAGGCAGCCTTTAACAGGCTAATAGAGCAATATTTAATCTAAGTTCATATTTCAAATAACATCAACATGTTCAAAGCTAAGTGGAGTCACGTATGATTAACATATGACTCATTCATTGACTAAGAAATATATTTATTATAATATGAAAAATAGTATAAATGCTAAGCTGGAGTTGACCTAAAAAATACGTCAGTGATTTCCTTTTGTCATCATTCCCTTTAATATTTCCCTCGGGGATTTCTGTGTTCTAACATCAATTAATGTGTTCATTTAGTCTTCTAAGAAAGAGAAAGCTGTAAAGAATTGAAGTACATAACCAGAGGTCCCACACCCTGTTGATATTTTACAGCTGCTTAACATTTAATGAAGGATGATCAAATTAAAATGGATATCTATGTCTTGACCTTTGTGAAACATGTCTTTAAAAATAAATAAATCTCAGAACAGAGCCACATTGTGATGTATGACAAGAGGATATTTAAGATACAGTATGCTATATTTAAATCTATACATTATGAGTTACTGGCAATGTGGAAATCAAAGAACATGATAACACTGTTTGAAAAGGGTTCATATCATCTCCAGTATTGATTTACAGTTCTTTCTGTTTGCCTCCTGTATTTTGTCTTGAAACTTGTACTTGTTTAATTTCCACCTAAGTCAGTAAGTAAGTTAGGTTTGTAACATACTGCACATAATTATTTGGCTTGATGCCATAGCTCCTTTTCATGACTTGCAACTGCTGCAATCGATTCCTTCTAATCTGGGTTACACATGATGTGAAGTTCTGACATGCTTTTCTGGAAATGTAGATGCACCATGTCTTGAACTGTACAGTGAACCATTGGAATAGCTGCTTCTTCTAAGAACATTAAAGGGATGGCTAAGCTCTCTTTTTCCAAATACCTGAGCATCTCCTCTTTGACTGTTGTCAAGGTGGGCCTGATATTTCCTTATTCAGCTCTGACTTTATTTTTATAGCTTGACGCACCATTAGGCACGTCAGAATGGCTGATTAATCTAGTTAGCATGTGACTGGGAGGTAAGAGCAAACCAGAGCACCTGGGAAAAAACCCATAGAGATGCAGGAAGAACATGCGAACTTTGACCAAAGATGCCCCAGTTTGAAAACCGTGTACTCAAAAGCTGTGAGGCAGCCGCCCATATCACCATCCCATGTGGCTCTATGATTCTAAAATGTCTTTTGTTTTGAAGAAAAAAATAGTCCCTGTTTTCTACACAAATGTTCTGCATGTAGACCTGCTGTTTTCTGTAATAAAATATTTCATATATACACCACTAAAAAAGAAGAAAGCAAATGATTTAATCCTTTTGGTAAACTGTTTATTACAAATTACATATATTTAACACTCCAATAAAAAAGCCAATATGCATTCTATTTACATCTACTAAGAATTTATACATAGTATTTACAAACAACGCTGGTGCTTATATTGGAGAGACTAGTGAGGGAAATCCCACCATCCTTAGAACACCCAAGGCTAAAATTCCACTCCAGTCACCTTCTTTACATATAATTTTTTAGTCATAAATACAACTCTATATTTATACACCTTATTTTCTTAAAGAACTCTAGATCATACAAAAATAGCTCTTCATCCAAACTGAGAAACTGCTTAACAATTAAAATGAAGTCAAACCACATGTATCAAACAGAGACAGCTTTTTTGTGTGTGTGAAACTGGTTGACCTATGAAGGTAATAAAGTTTGCTAATGAGCAATTAAAAATAAACACCTTACATTTACAGGCTATACCTAGCCATAGCAAAAGTTTGTGTGTTCTGTAACAGATACTGTTATTCAGTGTTTCGAACTGTTGACACACTGATTTACAGCCTGGTTGCTACATTTAATGAATCAAAAAAGGGAAAGTCTGTTTCTGCAAGGCAGTGAAATTAATATGAATGTTTACAAGGTCAGCAGGGTGGAATATGAAGTTCTTTGCAAAGCTGTTTGAGACAGAATATTTATCTCTGGTTTTAATAATTAGACACACCTCGGCTTAGGAACATAACATAACATAGGAAGTCTATTTTGGATGTCATCTGCATTTAAAAATGTGGAATTCCTAAAGGCAGTGTAACTCCAGCATTGTATACAGTTTCATCCTGTGGGTCTCCTTTGAATGGAAAATCCTGAATCTTGGAAACATAAACGTCTAAGTAACCACTGTTAAAATGTATAAAAAGGTATTGCTTAGATGTGTTACAGCAAATATTAAAAAAACAATGATTTTTTTCTCTATTTGGAATGTCCCAGCTGTGAAGTCATATACCCCACTAATTTTAATTCATCTGAAAAAAAAATGCCCCATTAGGTTAGAACCATGAAACTCAAATCTTGGGAAACAGCAATGTTTTAAAATATATTTTGACAATTGCTAAAAAACAGTTTTTTTGTGTAATGCCCACTCTTACATGATGTCTACACTAGTTATTAAAATGAATTAATGTTTATGAACTGGCTTTTGAACAAAAACAACAATATTATCTTCTTGGCTGCAGACAAAGTACAAAGAAGAGTGACTGTTTAACATTGAGACCACTATCAAGATTCCTTAATCTGATTACATCCAGATACCAAACCTTGACATTGCAGAGATTGTCTATATTCTGTCAAAAATAATGTACCACAAACACATTAACTGGAGGAGGATCAACCATTGAGCCCGAGACCCCCAGTTACTGTATTTATTTCTCCCACTGGAGGGGTCAGTTTTCCTCTGTGTGCCTACGTGGTCAATGATTGCTGTACAAAGTTGTCAACTGTGTTACAGTTCTGTAAAATATTTTGTGACAAACAGTTGCGAAGGCAGGGGTAGCTCATAAAATTTGATATACCTATCCTCAAATTGTCATTCTAATTTAGATCAAGATATCCAGTCAATTTTGTCCCTAGAAATCTGTGTTATCAAGTAACTGAAAGGTATGTTGTGTTTTATATTAATATTTTGCATATCTGGGTAAATGAAACATCTAAATTTTTAAATGTTATTGTGTGTTCTACATTTGAAGTCAGTTGTACTTTTTTCAAATGAATAGCTTGGATATATTTACTGTTAAATGATCACACATAAGCAGAACATAACCTTTATCTTTTTGTCTTTGTCTGCATTCTGGAAAAATACATACAACTTAAGGGTGAATTTTATTTTGTAACTGTTTTTTAACTTTGTTGGACATGTCACTTAAGAAAATTATTTCACATTTAAGAACTTCCCTTGGCTGCTACCATGTGCCCTCACAAGTGAATAGAAGAATTAAAAGCCAAAGAGAATTAAGGAAAATAAGCCTATTCCATTGTGATTGATGTTAGACTTTTAACAACTCAAATTAATTAAATCTCAAGTGGAGAAGAGATGTGCTGTCATTAATAAAAGAAAAACAGCGTGAAGTTCTTTAAGTTCTTTGCAGCTCAGAGATATTTCATCAAAGTCCAGAATAATACCTATCAAATTATGATTCTCAAAAATTTAGTTCCTTAAATAAACATTTGGTAGACTGATCATTTAAGTTTCATGTTTCTACTAATTTCAAATTTTGATATTCAAGAAAATACACACCAAAAACAAAGCATTTTCACAAGTACACAATCACATTCAGCAATAGAGAAACAGAAACAAAACTGAATTCCAGCAATTTAAGAGATTAAAGTGTTGTACTATCAACATTGGCGTAAGCATTTGAAACCACAGTATTCAGGACTTGACAATAAGAAAACAATATGGAGGTCAATGAAGATTGGGTACTTCACAACAAGCATATACAAAACACATCAACTGACAATATACAATCTACAGAGAGAAAGAAAACAATTCCATAGATTACTGGCATAGCCTATATACTGTAGGAAAATGAGATTGTCACAGTACATATACTGTATATATCCATATATACACACTACCAGTCAAACGTTTGGAAACACAATGTTTGTAAAGTACAGGGGAACCATATTATTTACTTTTCTTTATTGCAATTATAAATTTGTAATTGTTTATTACATGTATGTTTGCAAACTAATATGTTTGCATCGCTGAATTGATAAAGTGTCTCTTTATACTATACTGTTGGCTGGCAGTGTAATGACACCCAGATTTACCCTCCCTATTCTAGGAAAGCTGGATAAATTATGGAAGGTTTAAATGTTGCCTGAGTATAGACCACTACAGAATTTTGTAATGGTTATGAATCCCCGAAGCTTTCAAAAGGACTTGTAAATAGTCGTCAGTATTATTGGTTCAAATTTCGCCAAGTGTCTTGTGTGCATGTCTGTGGCAGTGAATAGCAGTGATGCCATCAGTAGAGGAATGAGACGAAATATTAGTAAGGTTGGTTCAGTGATCGGCAGTGTGGAGATACGGGCTGTGTTCAATGGGGAGGTGTAGCTCTCAACAGAGAGCAATGTGTTGCGTTGGTAAACACAACTGAGCAGAGTTTAAGAACTAATGAGTCTCAGTTGTGGGAACGCTGACAAGACCTTTAGTCTTGTGCTAGCTGCAGACAAAAGAGAGGACGGGTCTCCCGTAAGCAGAGGCTCGGGCTATAAGAGAGCAGGGCTGAAGCAGGACAGCAGGGGTGTGAGGCCCTGTGTTTGCCTTACAAGTGCATGAGAGGAAGGCACACTAGTTTTGGCAGATAAATCCCGATAAGGGGCAGAGAGTGAGCAACACTCCCAGAAGGAACTGGGAGCATTAAAAGGGACCGGGAAGAATGACAGTCCCAGAGGGGACTGTGTCTGTGAGCAATTGGAGCCTATCTGTGTGCAGTAGTCAGATGAGCCAAAATATTTAAAGTGGTGGCAGTCTATTGTAGTGAGAGACCAGGGTTGTTTATTGTGTCCACATCCTCCACCAATATGTGACATCACATATGACATCACGGGGGTAGTGCCTACATCCTCCACCAAGATGTGACATCACATGTCACGAAGGTAGTGCCTACATCCTCCACCAAGATGTGACATCACATGTGACATCACAAAGGTAGTACCTACATCCTCCACCAAGATGTGACATCATGGGGTGGCCACTCTTTGTTGCTCTCTCTCAACAGTAGCCAATGAAAAGGAGACCGCTCTGTTTGTCACAAAGTGATTTCGAAATCTACCAATAATGATAAAGGATTAACATACATTATGAAACAAGCTACTCAGCCATGCTGTTGAAGACAATACCCTCTGTTCTTTCAAAAAATGACTGGATGAGAATTAGTTACACAAAGCCAAATGGCTTTTAAAAAGATTATTTGATATGATGGCTGATGAGCTTTAGTTCCTGCACACTGCCTGTGCTATTCCCAGCAGCTGAATAGGATCCCATCTTTCAGACAGTCTGAAAAATATAGTAGTTACTCCCAAATATGTGAATCTGTTCTGGGGAATCTATTTGTTCTTCCAGATTTTTATTTTAGCTCTTAAAAAAGCCTTTGTTAGACGTTTTTTTTAAAGGGTCAAGCAAATAGGAAAATAACTACAAAAACTAAGGCACGTTAAAAAAACCCCACCATATTTAACTTGTCTTAATATGCTGATATATGAGGCAACAAACACTTCTTCAAAGATAGCCAGAATCTTTCCTTATGAAGGGATTGCAAATTGGTCTGTAAATTCTAAAGTGGATCTAGTTGGTCAGGATGCAAAGATATAAGTGAATCTAAGGACTGAAGTGAAGTAAGATATTTTCATCTCACTCAGCCTCTCTGTATATGGTGTTTCAAGACATTAAACAGTACTGTAATACTGATATATATTTACCATTATTAAATAATAGGATGTAAAGCGGTCCTGTCCTTCCTAACCATCATAATGGCATACAGAAGTAATATACACTGTAGTTATCTCACTGAAATACCCTGAATTCTGGAGTCACCTTATAAATAAATCAGGTTCCATGCAAAAAGTTTTTTTCAAATCATGAAATGCTTGAAGAAGCCAATAATAAATAAATGTATATGATATTCGTGATTTATTGTAATGACTAGATTAACTTTTCATGAATATCAAAACACTGTTTTCATTGTGAGTTTAAATTTAAACATGCCATTCAGGAGGGTTGTTTTCACTTTTGCATCGATCAAGAAAAACTACTTTAGACATAAGACTCTATTCCACAATATTTGAGGTCTAGACATAACAAAGCTTTGCAGTATATTAGCATCCCAGAGAGTTACATACATTTTTAATTCATTCTGAACTCATATGATCATATTATAATTTCAGCTATAAATCATACAACATGGCATAATGATACATTAGGTGCACTGGACATCTGTCAAAAAAACAGAAAAATGCCAGTGCTCTGGAATGCACTGCATATTTATATCAGGAAATATAACTCTGGTCCCAACCTTTTGTACTTGTCATACTGTGACTGAACAAGCAATGGCCTAATTAATGCTGATGTATGTGCCGAGAAAATGTGTCACTTTCCTTGAGCAGCTGCAAATAAAGAAAAAGTATCTGTTTTTAATCTAGTGACATTGTGTGCTAACTGTACATAAAGACTGCTTTTAGTCTTGTATGGTTCTACAAGGAGTCTATGATCCAAGAATGCAGTCCATTTCCTGTTTGTTCCTAATGGCATGGAACGAATGTCACAGACTGTGAGTGGTAACCTTCAACTTTCTGGTGAGAAGGCGAAATTGACTTGCTCTCCGATATGTTGCCCGGCTTCTCAGAGCTAATGAAGGTGACCAGAGCTTGAGTAGAGTCACATGATTGTTTCTCAGCATCCTCAGAGTTCAGGGAAACCAAGCTGGCCTGCTTGGACCTCTTTAACAATCGTGTCTTCTTCAGAAGGAGGCTGAGATCTTCTTTAAAATGCGGGTTAAAGAGCATGTAGAGGAGGGGATTCAAGCAAGCGGGCAGTGGGACGATGACCAGGAGAATGGACTTGATCACTTCTGGGCTGATGAAGGACAGGTTGAGCAAGGAGGAGAAGGAGAGGAAGGCCACGGGGAAATAGAGTATGCAGTTGGTAAAAAGAAGCCAGGCAACATGTTTAATCATGGAGCAGTCCCAGAAGTTGTCCAGTTCTCCCTTCTCCAGGTTGCAGTACAGTCTAGTGTAGGTGACGGTCATTACGAAAAAGCACAGGGAGTTCAGCAGCACTAAGGCCACCATGAACCCTAGGCTGGACGGTTCTCCAAAGGGCAGGGGAAGACACAGAGAGGAGATGCCATACTCACCCACGTGCAGGAGAGGCAGGACAGTAATGGCCAGTGCCAGGACAAAGCAGAAGGCAGACACAATCCTGACGTTATTGGTGGAGGACTTTATCTCTACTCTTTTGGAACACTTGATGGACACGCCCCGCTCCAGGGCGGCAGTGGTCAGCAGGAAGATACATGTCTCGGAGGCAAAGACTGACATGAAACCTGTAATCTTGCAGCCTATGCCACTCTCCCACCATGCCCCGTATTTGGCGAATCTGCCAAATGTCAAGGCATCAACCACTGCAAGGATGCCACTGGAAAGTCCCATTAGGCTATTGACCACAGCCAGGAGTCCTATCAGATGCTTGGCTGGTGACACATAGGTCGGTGAGAAGAATATAATGACTGCTACCAGTCCATTACAGACAAGAGACAACACCACTATAATCCAAACGCCACTACGAATGAGCCAGCTCCCGAACAGATGATCACAAGGCCGAAAAGGTCCTAGAACAAAACAATAAAATCTTTTACCATGTTTGTTCTCAGAACCTCTTTTGAAGGCAGACATTTTCCAATCTTATAAAGCAAACAAAATGTCAAGTTTTGCTGTAGTTTTCCTCCTTTCCATCTGCTAGTTCTTTCCTCCTTGTTTTAGAAAAATATAAATTCACGTTGTAATAAAAAAATTGAAACATGTTCCAAATTAAAGTGGAATGTAAAATAATTTGTGAGGAGGAACATTGAATGCCTGCTTGATTGTTTTACTGAACAAGATGAGGACCATCCACTAAACATGGCGATACACAGATGTCTTTAAATCTCAGCAAGCAAGGAGGGACCATGTTATGCAATTAAACAAAAGTACTTTAACTTCTGTTTGTGCTTTTGCGATTCTCTGGACACATGGTAATAAAGAACATTCAAATTTGTTTGTCCCCTGTTCTCTCCTGTTGTCTATATATAGAGAGATCCACTCACCTGGGGCTGGAGAACACTGGACTGAATGTTGAGCTTTTGGGTCCTCCTCAAGGTCAAGCAGAAAGTCCTCCAGGTCTTGGTCCTCTGGAAATAGAACATGTAAATTAGTAGTGCTTTCACTGTCTGGGGGCATTTCCACAAGCAGAGAGAATATCTGTGCTGAACATGGTTTTTCACTGCATTAACTGAATTTTCAATGAGGCAGTGCTAAAATCTGTTCCAAAAAGACACTCATGCTAACACATACCCCATTAAAATAATCGAAATGTACAGGCAACACAGTAAAAAATTGGATTTAATTATTACAAAAGAACATGAGAATGAAATCTGAAATCTTTTGTGCCAGCACACAACGACGTCAGGAGGACACCATAGTCAGTAGGATTCAAACCTGCGCGGGGAGACCCCAGGGGATTTCTAGTCCATCACCTTAACCACTCAGCCACAACAACAGCTCAGTACGTACAGTAGTAACTCTTACAGCCAGCAGGTCAGTAAAAATTGTCTATTAGCACACAGAGGTAGGATACCATTTGTCCATAAAATATCCCCTTAAAGGAAGGGTTTTATTGATTTAAATTAAGGTTGATTATAGTCTAAAATAAAAGGCATTAAAACACAACAAACAGGTATTGGAATCAATGGCATTTTTAATTTCTCTCACTATATTTTTCCTGTTGTCTCAGTCTATAGATGCCTTTTCTGTCTTTCCTTATATGTGTTGTGTATATAACCATGGTGATGCTTAGCATGACTTTTTCTACAGAATTACAGTTTGGGGATTTTAGAATGGGATTGTGCATGACTATTGATCTTGTCCTTTAAACACTGAATTGAATGATATACAGTAGCTTGGCTAATCAACTTTGGTCCATGAGTTAGAGGTTCTGATCTTGGACACATCATACGGTAACCCCTTCAATTGTGCAGCACACAACCACAAATTGCACTTGGCCACAAACCAATACTCCTTTATTTTGAACTCATTTATTGAGTAGTTTGATTATACGTGGGATTAAGAAATTCCTAATTTTGTTATTTGTGCCTCTCTGAAATGTCTTTTTGTAAGCATGGGTTTATATTCCTCATGCAGAATGTGTGAAGGATCTGAGGAGACACTGGCAGCTAGTCTCAGCATCCTTTCAGTGTAAGCAGTCTGTATGTTTTGCTCATGTGGCTGCCCCACTATCTTAGAATGCATCTTGACATCTTGGCTTTTTGTTGCACACAAAGACTATTATACGAATCGGTAGTTTCATACTACAAGACACTTTGTACCACAACATGTTTGACAAGGAGTTTGTAATGTCAGACCTTGGTGGCCCATAATGCTTGTCTCTTTCTTGCCTAACTCATCTCTGCTGCTGTTCTCCTCCTTGTCCCAGAGGTTAGTAGGCTTATTGTGATTTTCGCAGGACACAAAGGCACAGCACTGGAAAGCATAAGGCATTTCCATGACTCTGGAAAAAAAAAACAGGAAGAGTATATTATAACACCTAAAAAAGTATTTTGTCACACTATATTTAATAACAAGTACTTAATTAGTATTTAATAGTGCAAACTATTGTTTGTATCAGGCACAATTGCAACATGTCTGAACTTTTCACCCATTTCTGTAGGAAGCAGACATTATGTAAGATACTATAAATTATCACTATCTTTAAAAAAAACAACATTCAGTACCAGTTTCAGTGTCTTGAAAAAACATACAATCAGGAAACAATCCTTTTCATCAGTAAAAAAGCAAAACAACTCAAAGAAGCAATAATAAGTCAATGTTAAATTGACAAAGCCTGTTTTCTCAGATTAGACTTCAGCTAACACTTTTTTCCATTCTTAATGTACCACCCTCTTTTAGAAGAATTCACCTGTGTTAGCCTTTGAATTCAAGTCTAACAGACTTTGCATACAGTACATCCACCCACCCATCCATTCCCCAACTGCCTCAGCCTGTTCCCGGTTACGGAGGAGCTAGCGCCTATCCCAGCAGGCTAAGGGCACGTGCAGAAGGTGGGGTAACCCCTGGACAGGATGCCACTCCATTGCCGGGCAGACGCACAGACACAGACATGCACACACTCGCACCTAGGGGCCAAGCTTCTGGGAAACCGTTTCATTTACCAGTATGTCTTCGGACTGCGGATCACTAGAAGGAAACTTATGCAAACATGGGCAGAATATACAAATTCCAAGATGAGCACACATCGGGTCTGGAATGGAACCCAGGGTCCCTGCGCTGTAAGGCGGCAATGCTAACCACTGAGACAATATGCCACCCGACATGGACACACGCACACAATTATAAAAGAAAAAATGTGTTTAATGCTGCACTCAAAAATCTATTGATCTTTACCAGGTACTGCATTTATCTCACAAAACAGCACGCAACATTGGCTCCAATCCTACTTCACTTGTTCAGTTTTTTTCAGAAAAATGCATCAGTTTTAATAGAAAGAGTGTGACTCATTTGTCTGTTTTTACACTGAGGTCTAGGCTCAGAACAAGTACCCTAGAGTTTCATATTTTTATTGCTTGTGTTTTTATTAAGTTTCTAACAAAAAGTTCGGGAGGGATGACAACAGCCAAGTTCAATCAGACGCAGCTGTCAGCAATTCGTAAACATTGCTGATGACATTTCCTCACCTACTGTAAAACCATTCATACATACTATATGTTATCCCCTTTTCTCCTTCACACATATCTTTTCGCATCACACCTGCACTTCATCTCCACCTTTGCAGCTGCCCCTTGGTCTCTTCTCACTGTGCATGGGGGTCCCAGCCTCCTCGCTCTGTGGCCAGGCAGTTAGCCCTAAGCCAAGTGGGATAATCTAAATTTGGACTAAAACCACTTCAGCAATTTAATTATTGAGTGTTGTTATTCCTAGTGACCTTTTTTAAGGTCTCAAAGTATGATTATCATATACAGTATGCCCCAGATGTGCTCCAGGAGCAAGGGCTTTCAATTAGGAGTGGACATGAAAACACCTGGGTATAGCTTTACTGTGACCTGCAGAACAGTACTTATGTCTTTACCTCAGTTTTGGAAAGTTGTCTGCAGATAACAGTTCCTGTAAGCCTTCGTTGCCAGCTAGTTTCAGATGGGTTAGACTGTGCAACCCAGTCACAGGCAGGGAAGACAGAAGATTTGAAGTCAGATCCCTGTAGGAAGAAAACTGTGGTCAAGAACTGACTATGAGCAGAATCCAGGGAGGAGTCATTCCACAATCTGAGTTCTCTCCAGACCATCTACAAAAAATTGCAATACTTACAGTTTAATTAATGAAGGCAGGTTGGAGAATGCATTGGGATCAACTGCATGTAACTTATTCCAGGCAAGGTCACTGCAGAATAGAGGAAAATTGTTTTAAATATGCTGGCCTGTTTCTCTGTATGAAACATTAAAAAACCATTTTCTGATGATTCAAACAATATTGCTAATGTCTGTCGAGTCAAGAATTTTTTTTCCTGAAATGTACATATGATTAAGGCTTTCAGTAATAGTGTTTGAAAGTCTGTGGTGAACTATTCATTTGCAGCTTCAATAATAAAAGTACAAAACTCCACCATGTTCTCTGTGTAAAACAGGGAATAATTGCACTGAATATGTATGACTACTTGATGGTAATGTAAAATCTGGCATTTTAAGCAAAAATAAAGGATTTGATGAATATATTGCTTACAAATTATTGCTTCACAAAGCAAATAAAGGTCTCATCGAATTCAATAAAATATATGATTTATCATGAGATTATACTGTATATGGATTCATATAATTATTAATATATAGGAATAGATTTAGATTAGTGATAACAAAAGTGCTTAAAAGTGGTTCAGGATTGTGTAAAAATGACAATGTGCAAATTGTTACTATGGTTTAAATTTTTTATTGATATAATATGCAGACGTGCAAAGTTACACAGCACAGTCTATTAAGAAAGCTGTCAAATTACATAAGGAAAGATCCTAACCAGTTATTTATCCCAGAGAAAGGTCCTTGTTATTCTTAGCATTTAACAGTCTCTTTATTGTCATTAAGCTGAGATATCATAAGGAATCAGAGGACTGGCACTGTGGGAAGTTTTGAAAGATAGCACATTGGATCCAAGACATTGAAAGTTAAACAGCTCAGCACGTCTGGATACCAAACTGGAGCCACAAGTAATCATTTCAAGTCTGCTTTTATGACACAATCCATCAAGTATATATGATGATGACCATTGTCATTTATCTCCAGGAAATTGATGCTTCTTGCTGATCCATGAAAACTAATTTTCATAAGACAGCATCAAGACATATCTGAAAGACATTTGATGGCATCATAAAACATTCTCGTACCAGAGAATAAGCTAAGAAAAACCGCCAAGAACAGGAGCATGCTTGAGTAACTCCTTAAATTATACAGGAGTGCTCACTAAGTGAACATCAGCCCAACCGGATTCTGGCATAGTGAGAACACATTGCAATCATTCTTCACTTACTGCCAAGGCAAGAGCTGAGTGGGATTATTCGGAGCTGTATTTATAGTTGAGATATTTGTTTATAGTAGGCACGCTGTTTGAGAGAAGTGTACCCTGCAGCTGTCAAAAGGAAAATGTTGTGAACAGAATGTCATATCACAGGATCCGCCAATACATTCCTTGCGCAACTAAAAATCAAACATTGAGCTGTAGTCTCTCTCTGCCAGCCTTTCTGTTCAACAGCCTACCCAGCTAATCTATACACATCTAAATTTGTGGTGACTCTTTTTTCTTCTACTACAGTAACAAATGAACTTTTAGAACACTGCAAAAGTTTCAAGAGACAAAGATTCATTAATAACAAATTATTAAAAAATGTTCTAAAGTTCATCTCTAAGCCACATCACCAGCCGGGGGAATATCATATTACTTAGCTGAATGAAAGTTTGGCTGCTATTGTTTTCTTGATGGCCATGACAGAAAGAATTGATACATGGAGCAATGACCATGAAGCTCAAAGAAACAGGAAAATCCATTCTTCCATCCATCTGCAATTATCTTGCAGTCCAGTAAAGTTGGAGCCTAACTCCACAAACAGGATGATGGTAAAATTATTAAACACATTGCAAAGATTAAATAAAATAGGCAGAATATTTTTAGGAGCAAAAAAAACTAAAAATGATTGTGTTCACAGTGTCCATGTAGAATTGCATTGTACTGTATAACAAAATGTATACGCTTCATAATGACAGAGAACAAATGTGTTCACTGAACATTCTTTTGAAGGCATTTAGAAAAACTATTATACTATACTATTATATTAAATACCTATCATTTTTAAATCAAACGTTTATGTTTTCATACTTTGTGTGGCAATGTAAGGTAATATTCCCATTCCTGTTCTTTTCTTTCTGCTAATTTCTCAGTTTCATTAGGTGAAGACACAGGGTTTTTACTTATCCTTAGTCATTCTTTACAAGGACCAAAAAAAAAACACTTTCAAAGAGTGTAAAAACAACTGAAGAGGAAAAAAAGAGAAAAAACTCCTCTCCCCTTTGAATGTAAAGTTTGTAAACAATTTTCCCAATTTGTCAACAAGGAATTCAGACCATTATACTGTTTATGATATATTCATTCTATCTTCAAATTGAAGTTCTTAACTGACATTCAGGAGAGATGATGACAACCAAGCTTTTTTCCACTGTTGTTCTAAATCATAATCAATCCTTATGTCATTTCTCAAAGCTATATTATGCACTACTCAAATCCCTTTAAATTTTCAGAAACTTTTAATTTCTTGGCTCTTCCCATCTATACCTTTGTAGCTACCACTGGGCTAACTTGTCAGTCTGCATGAGCGTCCTAACCTTCTAGCTTATGGCCAGGGCATTGAGCCAAATTTGATTATACATAAGTTCTCAATAAATATCCTTAAATGCAAATGTAATTCTTGAGTGAATTCCTTGTGAAATTATTGTTAACAACACACTTTTACTTATTTGTTTTTATATGCCTTTTTTCCCTGTTAATTAAATATACTTGAACATCTTAATTATATTATACTAGGCAAGAATTAGGACAATGGTAAAGAATAGTACACAGTACATGTATGCAAGTATGTAGTATTTAGTCTATTTTTGTTTGAGGTCATGAGTAGGAACCTTACAATGCAGCTGAATGCGCCAACAGTATTTTTGAATGTGAGCCTCTCCTACATGTGATACATTTGCCCGACATAGCAGAAAAAATACTTCTTTCAAAGAATTCCCTCTCAGGCTGGTAGTCATAGCTAATGTGTGCATGTTTGAATACTCTTCTATTACAGTATACATGACAAGGACTGACATTGTCACCTGTTTTTTTTGTGTGTGAAAACTATAAAAAAACAGCTTTGTAGCCAACACCTTGAGTAATGAGTTCTCCAACAATGAAGATGACAGACAGGTCAAACATGAAAAAAGTGCGTTTCTGTGAAAAGATAGCGACTTTCAGTTTTTCTACAGATTCGGATTTGCTCGCACGCCTGGAGCATTGACACTGGGCAGAATGCAAGATCCCCAGACACCACCAGCAAGGTCAGGGGTCCCTTGAGAAAAAGCACCTCCATAAAGGTGGTGAAGGGTGTTCAATCGAAAGAGGAGGTTGGCTTTGTATTCGTGTGCAGGAGGAGGTAGGCTGCCTTGCTTGGGAAGAGTTGTTTTACCTTCCTGTGTATTGTAACGATTAGCTGTTCAAGGCTTGGGGGAACACATTCACAAAGGGCAAAAGAAAACACTGCAGCTCTAAGTGCAGACTGTGAGCACTCTATTGTTTCAGCTGTGAAAAGTTTATTCAGAAAAGTTACTTTTCTGCACAGGGATTTTTTTAAAGAATTAAACAAAAAGACTTCTGAAAGGGGAATTTAAGATTCCCCTGAGTCTGCTTCTGATATCAGACTGTTTCATTCATTTAAGTTCTTTACTGCTGAACAAATTATTTGATGTTTTTAATGTCGCAGCTGTTGGTGGAGTAAGCACACATTAATCTTTAACAGGAGAGAGTCTGTTTTAATCTTCCTTGTGCTAAATGAGAACAAGACAGTCGATGGGAAGACAAAGTGCTATTAAATGTTTATATAAACTTATATAGGATATCAGGGATAATGAATGGGCCATTACGCAACCTTGGGTGTGTTTTCCTTTCGGCACAAAGCACTTATTTAGTCTCTTTCTAACACTCTGTGTACAAAACAGAAGTTTCATCAAAGTACTTAAGACTACTTCACAGAAAGTAATGGACTAGTATGAATTTGATCTTTGTCTCAGTCTGCCATTTATCCGTGTCTAGAAGTTTTCTAGAGGACTCTTTTATTTACAAAACACAATTACTTTATTTGGCTCTTGATCCTTGTGTAGAAGGAGCATGTGAATCAAAATCTGAAATTACTTTCTTTTTAGAGCACATTGAATTAATGCTAAATAAAGTATTTAATAGTACTTTTCTAGCAATAATAATTTAAAGCCCTGATATTTTTCTTAAAATGATATCCTGCTCTATGATAAGCAGCCTAGAGCTACAGAAAAACAATAACCTCCTGTTAGTACAAATTTATCAGGTACACAAAATGCACATTATTGAAAACATTCATTCCTCAAGGAGTAAATGAAGGGCAAAAGAAGGGGCTAGCAACACCCAGGGGGATGCCCCAGAGCTGTCAAACACACTGAGAAGTGGATGATGTTTTATTCTACAGGACTCTGGAAGGCA